CTCAGAAAGCTAGTCTTATTGCTATACTCCACCAATCTGAACTATTTGCTTCTTCTGCCCTTCTACAGATCTGGTTAAATGATCCTATAGTCAATCTTCAAATCTCTGGAAATAATAGAGACTGCAATTTCTTTCTCTGTCCTTAAAAAAACAGAGTATCAGTATTAGAGAGTAGCAGAATAGAAGAATAGTCAGAAATCATCAAAATTTGCCCTCTCCTTTTGCACACTAAACCAACCAATGGCTTTTCTGTCACTAGTTCAATCTCAGAAGCCGTCTGCACCCGCCCAAATGAAAGCTCGCTCAGAAGACTGAAACATAAAGACATGAAAGGGGGTGCTCCCCACTTGTTGAAATGGGAGTGGGCATGAGAGCCTTAGGGTGCTTCTCTCTCTCTGCAGCAGCACCTTTGTCTCCCAAACAGAAAACACTTTCAAAACGACTGGTTCAACCGGGAGGGAGCAGGGTAACTCGTGAGTTCAAAGTCACATTCTATTAGAAATTCCCAAGATCGGAATTCTCATCTCATGTGTTTTCTTGCATTTTTATAATAAAATGAACTTAGCTTTTCATCACCACTTAGGCAAAATGAAATTAAGCTAATTCAATAAGATTTACTAAATAAAAAATTAAAGCAGCAGGTTTGAGGTGGCTGTATTGTAATTGTTTTTGTTTTCACGCAAAGCAGACATTTCAGATGACTCAGTATGATGGAGGCCAAACTTCCAATGACATTCCTCCTTTAAAAATCATGCTTTTTTGGCCCCTGCTATTTCACGCCTTACCTTCTCTTAAGGAGAAAGGTAAAACCTACTTACTTCATTGCCCTCAGAAATTCAACTGCTTTTATATGTCACTGACCTGACCCTTTAAACATAACATACCATGTAATAAAAGTTTGTGATTGGTTTTCATTTAAGAATATACAATTTTCAGTTGTTTATGTTAATTCATCACTACGAAATAAAACAACACTCACCAAGGGATTGAAAGAGTTCGGTCATTTTAGGATGATCCCAACAGGTTGTCTGTGTTTTATGGCTGAAAAAAATATAGCAATAAATTTAAATAAAACATATAAAATAATATATGGCACACAGAAAATACGAAAATAGAATTTTTATTCACATTTTTAAAAATACATGCAGAATTATCCCAGTGATGGATCACTGAGCAACCTGGTGCCCAATTATTACTTAATTGTTGCAGCAACAATAAAACATTTTTATTTGAGCAATTATATTGTGAAAATGTAGATGAAAATTTTAAAAAGAAGAACAACTAAATATTAAAACTGAGCTAACGTGGGCTGTCATCGACCCTAGGTTCCAAAATAATTCTACTTGTGCTAGGCAGATGTAGATTCTCATTCAGAATGAATCCTCTGAAGCTGAAATGCTGTGAAAAGTCGCTAAACTTTAGGCATCCTAATCAAATTTCCAAAGAATAGAGAAACAACAGTTTAAATCTGAATAACATCTCCATCTCCCAATCTACTGAGCCTCTCTCTTCAACCTTGAGTCTCTTTTCAGTATAAATTTTCCCTTTCACCCCCATGGGGACCCACTCAGAACCCCAGAGTTGAGATCAAGATAATTTTAAGTTGAAGACATGTGGGAGTCAACAGATGCAGAAAGAAGCCTTCTCAGGGTTTTCTTTATCTGACTAAAAACAGCAGCAANGTGTAATGTGCTCTCTCCAAATGTAAGTTCCTTGAGTGTGGGAACCAAGTCTCTTTATATTACTTTATCTCCTGCACAGTCATGGAGCCCAATAAATGCATAAGCAACCACAGAGCAACAGCTGCACCCTCTGTATTAGGACATTATGTGGGTGGAAATTTACACAAAATGAGAGACAACCCTTGACCTCAAGCCATTCTCAATGAAGCTGGGGCAATCGTCCTAACATTATCTATCACACAAAGGCACACACATGGCGCGTTTGTGAAAAACAGGTGTTAGAGGCAATCATAAAGTTCTGGAAAAACTGACGGCAGGTGGGATTAGCTTATAAATGTTTCCAAAAGAGGTAAATTTTTAACAGTATTAGGGAGGAATAAAGGGTTACAGGCCATTGCAGAGGAAGGGTCAGGGAATTTCAAGTAAACAGAAACGATGAGAGAAGAAGCAGCAGATTAATCATAAACAGGAGAGCTTGACAGGTGGCACAAAGGCCCCTGGCTAGAGTGCAGTGGGGGCAGAGCAGTGGGAAAAGTACAGGCCAGGCGGCTCCAAAACCATCACCTCAAATATTTACAATCCAACACAACCCAGCACTTCCCTAAGTGTGCGTTACTAAATGCCACTTAGTTTATAAGTGGGAGGTGGCATTGCTCTTCTGTGCCTCTCATGTCTGAAGAAATAACCTGAATGAAGGAGGAGTGTTTTCTTTAGGACTCAAAAGAACCAACCGAAGAAAACACCCAAGGCGTTAATCCGTTGACACACCCGGAAGTATTAGGGAAAACCGTGACCATGTTCCTATAATACAAAGCAGTCTTCCGTCAATGGAGACTCTGCGGCTGAGTCCCTTCTCCTCATTTTATAGCTAATCAGGCCTGAGAAGGCCTTCCAGATCTGTCAGCTGGATACTGGACAGACAACTGAGCCTCTTTCAAAACTGCTGTCCCCATGGACTCAGGGAGCTCACTAAACATCCCTTTTGCGTGTTCCTAATTCATTTCCTATTTCCTTCTGGTTCAACATACAGACCACTAGCCAGCGTGTGCTGGCTTTATTTTTTTGTCCTGGTAATTGTGCAACATTTGATGGAGTCACTACAACCTGCCAATTGTTTGGGACTCCACAGACGGTGTGCAGTAATCCCTCTTCTATCACTTCATCTGGAGGTGTTTTGCAGCCCTTCGTAGACTTTCCTCCCACATACTCATACAACTTATGTTTTTCTCATTTTAAAGCTTTGCATTGCTGTTATTTTCTCTGAATGATTCTATACTCCCTTTCCTCAACTCTGCTCATGCAACCAGCTTAAACTGTGTTTCTAATTTCTACTAACTTTAAAGGAGATTTTNAAAAAAAAATTATTTCTAGAACAACTCAATAGGGACTCCAATGAAATTATTTCTAAAAACAATTCAATTTTTTAAAAGCGAGAAAGACAAATATAAAGTACACAAGTCTGGATAACAGGGCAATCAATTTCCTTCAGATGTCAAATACATCATTGGTTTTTCAGCTAATATATAAAATAACTAAGTAAGGTTCACATGAGTTAGCGACGGTGTCAGAAAAAACTGAGAACCATCTGAAATTTTTCATTGTCACTTTTTCTTGGCATCATACACTGCTTTCAGCGATCAACTTCCAGAGGCCAGGAGCAAAATTCAAATTCACTTTTTATGGTGCCTGATAAGGGGAAGAGCTTAATAAATGACAGTAGCTACAGAACTATAATTTCACATAGACACAAAATAAAATATTCAAATACTGCCAAAATGCCCTAAGTTTCTGAATTCCAGCACTAATTATACCAGCAACACAGCACTGCTATTATATCTCCCCACATGGCACAGAGTGACAATAGACCAAATTCTAAAATGATGAGCGTTTCCTGGATGAGGCTGTGTCCTTGCATTTCTTCCAGAAAAGTCCCCTTTATAATACACACTGTAGCTGTGATAGTAATTTGCCACATCCCACAGACTATCATGTCTTCAATTTTTAGTGATTTACTCTGACACTATGCCTTAGTGCCTAAGCAAGGCATACATCTTCCAGAAATGTGTCACATTCAGGTTACCTTTAACGAATTGACTACATTTAAGTCACAGAAAATTATGATCTTTTCTTTTCAAAGGAAGACAAATGACAGCTCAGTCATGTGGCAAATGAAACAAACAGCAGAATCATTTTCTAACCAACTTTTTCTTTTATCTCACACGTGAGGCACAGGGCATCAAATGGAAATGGTTCATCATTCTCCTGTTCTGCAAAAGCACACACTGCACAGCACTTGACCTTGGGCTTCTGTGACTCTTCTGTTCTTGAACTGTTGGACCATTGCTGCTTATTAGCACCTTGCCCATCTCTTCTTCCCATTCATCACAGAAACAGATGTGGCGTCCGAGGTCTCCTATCTGCCCTTCACTCTATAAGCCCGATGCCCTCACTCACTTTCATTACATCAACTATTACTTCTCCCTGAATGACTGTAGATTCTATTTTCTCATTCTGATCTCCTGCCTGAACACCTGATCTACATTCCCACTGCTCTGTGCCCAACTAGAGCTACACTGTTCTCTTCTAGGGGCCTCTCCCTTAACATGTTCCAAATAAAGGTCTTGCCTTCTTTTCACATTGAAATCCAGTAGCAGGATTACTACCTTCTATAGACTATCAGTCTGCAAATTCTAAGATATCCTAATACTCTCCTTTCACCCTCTGCAATTTATCAACTACCAAATTCCCCCAGTCATCAGTTCTTTCTCTGCTTTAGAAATCCATACCCTCATCTCCCCTCCTACTATTGGGTTGTTGGAAAAGTCATGATGTATTTTTTCTGTTTTTCGTTGCAAAAAATGCGCCATGACTTTTCCGACAACCCAATATCACCAGCCATCTCAGCCTCCATCATCTTTCACCTGAACTATTTACTTGTCCTCTCTTCCCTTGGTCCTTCTATCTGTCTTAGATATTGTCCCAAGCATACTTCCACGACTGGCCCTATTTCCTAAATCCCACAAAACAAAAATGGTTCTATAGTACTCCATCCTATTAAAAAAATCCAAAAATTAAACACAACATTAGGAGAGCTTGAGCAACAAAAAAGCTAAAGGAATCAGAAAAGGTTTCAAGAAAAAAAAAAAAAAGACCTCCTAAATGGACCTAAACTGATGTTAAGGACATTTGTGAATTCTGGACAAACTGCTCATAAGCTACTCCATTTAGACTCCATTATTATCTGATGTCCCATCCAGGACTTTGAGTTTCATGCATACAACTCCCTTCCCTCTTACCCTTGATTACAGCTGTGTGCCTAAATCCTATGTGTTTTCCTTCTAAGGCCTGGCTAATATGCTTCCTACTCAAGAAAGCTTGCTTTGGTCTTCATGATGAAGGAGATCTCTCACTCCTCTGACAGCACTTCCCTTTGGCTTGTCTGTCACTGCCTATCACATATGAAATACAAAAGAATATGTATGATATATATGTGTGGTCTAAAGAAAAACAATAGAACAATCACCCATTAATCCATCACACAGCTAAAGAAATAGGCTGTTAATGATATCTAGGAAACCCCTTGAAAAGCCTCCTTAATTACATCCTCTCATAATCACAGGAGAACCATCGACCTCTGTATTTCACTGTCAGCTA